ATAGTTTTGGTTGAGAAACTTGATGTACAGAAAAATAAGTCAATCAAAGTGCTACTACGTTCTGTCACTCTTGTTGGGAGGCAGCTCATTTTGTTTTCTAACATGCCATTTCCTATCATAATATCCTCAATTTTTTCCCGCTTTGTCGAGTTTAACAGAAAATTTACGTTAAAATCACCACAAACTATGTGATCAGTTTCAGGCCCTAGCGTTAATCCATCCAAACAATTTTGCAGGCTTTCGAAGGTAGCGTTGTTTAGAGAATTTGGTGGAATGTAAACACAGGTTACTACAATTTTCTGTTTTTTTTGTAATTTTTTATGACAACTGACAAGATTTGGATATTGTTATCTTTTTTTTCTTTTATTATCCTATGATCTGACCCAGTGTTAACATATATGCCAATACCTCCTCCTCGTTAGAGAGGTTCGTATCCTTGAATTTGGAAAATATCATTGTCAGAGTTATTTTTGAGCCAGGTTTCAGTTAAACAAATGATATCTGGACGTTGGGCCAACTGTTCTATTTCTAATTCAAATTCTTCAAAGTTTCGGGGCAGTGATCTGATGTTTTGTAAAAACACTGAAAAAGTTTTAGAATTTGTTTCCTCCATGTCTCTGTTAACCATATTTTCTGTGTACAGTATAATTCTCGCGTGGTTTCTTAACTAGTTGATAATTTAACCAATTTTTGAAGATCAATGATTTGTCAGAAATCAGAAGCCACCCAGGGCAGTGCGGAAATCGCACAAACTCTAGGTAGTTTCTACTCCTTGTCTAGAATATACTTTTTCTTCGCAAAAATACGAGTATTGCTAGCTTTCAATTTTATACCCGTATAGGGTTCTTTAATTTCCCCTCCAATCCCTCGCCTCCTTCTTTTCCTTTTTCAGCTTACATAATTTTCCTTTTTCCTGACTTTTTCTATTTTGTTTTCATTGTTTTCCTCATTTTCAGCATCTACAATTAAAGATCGCAAGAGCAGCGCGGAAATCACGCAAGCTCTGAGAACTAAAAGAGCAGGATGAATTTTTTTTTGGTTTTATTCTAGTTTTGTTTTAAAAGAAAATGAAACATAATTTAGTTTAAATAACCACAAAGCAGCGCTGAAATCGCACCAACTTGTTATTGGTTTTTGTTTTTTAATGGAAGACTAATTGGACTGTTCTTCTTTATTAGGTATGAGACCAGCAGTGCGGAAATCAACATGTTTTGTCACAAACGTAACCACTCAAGGCTAGAATAGCAGTTCATATGCTTTACAGTTTAACTCAATTCATTTTGTGTTTTTCTGTCAAAGTTTAACAGGCGGCACACATTATCCGTTCAAAATCCAATCAATGGGTTGGTTTTTTGTTTGCAGGGGATTCCCATTCGTTGTTGTCATGAAGAGAGTCGGTGTAGATTCGTTTTTTTCGCTTAACAGCATTAATCGTTTGCAATTCATCTACTGCGTCAACTCGCATAAACTTTGTTTCGCCCCGACGCTTTTCATCATGGACAAGCACTGATACGATGCAGTTACGAGTGGTAGTTATTAAGTCCATATCATTGGCCGCTTTCTTAATTAGTTCCGTAATATATATGTTACGCTTGTTTAAAATGTTTTTCTGATATTTCAGATTCCTCCTGGCCTTGTATACAGCGTGCTTATCGTCAAAGTATACAAACTTGCAATTGATAGTGGGCATAATATTTCCGTAATTTCCCATATACATGTGACAAGCTTTAATTCCCCCACGAGAAATGTTAACTTTCAGACTTGTCCTGAAAAAGTCAATTATTGCATCCGTAACGTCATCTACTGCCCTTGCATCGAACGGCGGATTCCATACAAGCACACTATCCTTGCTAGTATACCTTTCCTGAGCTCGCAGCCTGGTATCTATGTTTAACTGCTTAAGTTTAAGACCCGTAATTTCACATTCTTGTTTTTCAACTTTTTCTCGCAATAATAACAGTTCCGTTTCCATATTACTCACTTTTTTATCTCCCGTATTTTTACTCACGGATACCTCTTGGGTTGCAGAAACCTGAAGCTCAGTTCCACTGTCGGTTTCCATCATAATAACAAATACTCAAATTGATAACAAAAAAAATCAAGGAAGAATCGCTTTTTTTTTAAAACGTCTGAAATAATTACTCAGTATGGGAAAAAATCTGAGAACTTTTGGTAACAATCAGGGCTTATCAATTTATCAAGGCTACCGAATTTGCCGTAGTTTTGAATTTATTTGAGGCTTGATTCAATTTGAGGGGTTAGATTCGTATTTTGTCATTCAAATTTTTTATTGTTTGATCATTTTTTTGTCGTTTCGAAACACGCGAGAAAAAAAACGTTTAGAACATTTGCAAGGTCAACCGACCGATTTCCAAGTTTGAATTGCTCTTTTGTTACTGACTGAAAGGAAACTGTTATCGATAATTGGTTCTCTTAGTAAACTGCCTACCTTTCTTTTGGATTTTGAGTTCACTTTCTCCTTTCATTGATGTTCTTATTTCACCAACTGATTGCATCTATCTGATTGTTTATCCTTGTGTTAACGTAATTTTTTTTTAGTTCAGTATTGTTCTTCTACCTCTGTCTAGATATGCGACTTCTTCCGACATGCTCAATTCGTTTTTTTTCCTGAGTTTTTCAGCTAAATTTATCTTCTTTTGTATTCCTTTCTATTCTTGTCTCTTTTCTTTTTTTTTTGGGGTTAAAAAACAATCGAAAAGTCGGCAGAGGTTGGCGTTCTTCTCCCTCATAAGTAATTTTTTCACCTTTTGACTGGGGCTCATCTTGGCAACTAGCGTGTTCGTCCTTTTTTTGTTGGTTATTCAATTCTGGCTGAGTTGAGTAGGGTTTAATATTTCTGAAAAAACAATAAATGGTGAAATTAAGAATCTCCAAATACAAAACAGCTGCTGACCTTTGCTAGATTTTGGAGAATTGCGTCCAGCTACCATGTTAACAACTGGACCCAAGCTAAATTGTTCGAACAATGCTTGTCTTGGTACTGAATACAATGTTCTTTTTTAAGTTTCTGTGAATACCGATCACTGTCTCAATGAGACTTCAGAGTACAAAAACAAGCCAAGTATACAGATGTAGAGATGTATACAGAAAGTCTCGGATTTTAACAGCTAAAATAAATAAAAATTTACATTGTTAATTTGAATACCAACAAAATTGAGATCAGTGCAAGGGCAGGGCAGCGCGGACTTTAGTATAATTATTTTCAGCGTTGCCCAGCCCTTGCACCGATCTCAACTTCGCTGACATCCAATTTAAGAATAATGTATTTTTTTCCGCCAAATTTACATTTTTGCAGTTTTCTACCTGACTTAATTGCTTTTGGCTTATAGAAATTATCAATTTATTTTTGAATTGGAAAAGTTTTCTTTTCATTCTTTATAATTACTTTTCCCTTTATTTATAAACTTTAATGGTCGTAAAATTCTGTGCTTCTTGCACAGCAACCAGCTAGCTAGTTTAATTATAAACAACCAGATATTCAGAATTTTCATTAACCAATTTTTGATAGGTAATTAGAAGAAAATAGTTCGTATGACCAGGGTACAGGAAAGATGATCGCTTAAAAAAAAATCTTTTTGTCCAAAATTTTTGAGGTTGAAAAATAACAAAGAGAGCTTTTATTTTGAACTTTGCAGAGATAGGATAAAAACACTATGACATTTAATGTAGCTCTCAGCCAATTCCAAAAATTGGGCCGCTATCTATATTTACAATGGAACTAAGGAGTTAAAAACTGAAAGCAAACTATTCTGTTGCACATTTTAGGCCACTTCTGCGAATAATCAATTAAATTTCAACCATTTAGTAACACAGGCATGGGTTTAGGGGTATGGGCGGAGGGGACGGACGCTTTTTTTCTCTCAGGGATTCGACCCCCTGCCGAGCCGACCCACAGATTCCTTCCTTTGCACTATTTTGAGATATCCATTTTTGGCTGTTGGACCTCAAAATTTTTAAAAAAAGTGGCTTAGGCGCCAATGTATACTAATTTTGAGGAGGTAGCGCGCGCCGAAAAAACGCAGCTTTTTGGTCAAAAATTTCCAAAAAATTCATAAAAACTCAATTTTTGGCCTGCTTTGTCAAAATTTTGCCTGCGGCGCAGAACATTTGGCCAATCCAGGGCCTTTTTAGAACTTTAGAAAAGAGCTCAGAAAACCAAAACTAAAAAATGGTCGACAAAATTTTCGTAAACTTTTTGAAAATCCGCCCTTCCCCCTCGAGAAAGTCCTAAATCCGCCCCTAAACACAGGCTCTGAATGATCCACGGTTCAACAATCGTAATATTAGCGGCTTCTTCGAGCTTTTCGGAGTTCAAAACGGTCTTTCTTTTGACACTGGTGAGAGGTGGAAGGCCAAGAGAAAAGTGATGAACCAAATTTTCCGAAGTATGGGCATTGGGCGCAGTTCTCTCAGTCACATGATTGAATCAAAAGTGGAAAAGTTTATGTCGCATTTTGAAAAGCTGGACAAAAATGAGGTTGATATCAGGGTGAGTTATATGTTTTACATAAAACTGTTTTTTGGCTTGGAGCATAAATGGATATAAATAGAAGGAGAGGGCTGAAATTTTTAGTGGATAACTCTAAAATTTTCGAAACGGGCAATTAGCAGCAAAAACTATTACTTTGACAGGGGAACGCGCCAAGAAAATGCGCTAAAATAGGCCAAAATTTTCTAAGAAACTTTTGGTCAAATAAAGCTATTTGCTTTGAGTGAAGGTAGAAAATCAGTTTGGTCGACTTATAAAAACCGGACAAAAACTTCAATAGTATGAACCTTTAAAATCCTCCCCGCAAAAATCTTTAAGCAGAAGCTCACTTATTAGAGATCTGTACGTTTCAGCTATTAGTATTCGAAATAGAAAAGATAGTACACCAACAAACTTCGAAACCTATTAATCTTACCTAATTGTCGAAAAAATTTCACACTAAGGCGGAAAAAACCAGCTAACCATTATGTTTATAGGTATTTTGTTTCAGAAGTAAGTTGGATACATGTCCAGCAATATCGTTTTCAACCTTCTGTTTGGCAAAACGTTCGATTATGATGACCCCTTGTACCTTGAATTTTACTACTACTTACAGCGAGTTTTTGACTTTCAAAATCCACGAGCACTTCACTACTGGTTACCTTTATGCATAGCCAAGCGTATGTCTGTGCCTAAGGAAGTAATAAGCAAGCGGAAAAACTTCATCGAAAAGTTGCGAGCCGAGTTCTTTCGCCGAAAGCCGCCCTCACTCGAAGCCGCTCGGAACCGAGAACCGGAGTGTGTTTCTGACTATTTATGGAATAAAGTTTTGATCGATAATGACTCGATCATCACTGAAACTTCAGCAGTAGCGATCATGGCCGACCTTGTTTTAACTGGTCAAGAAACTGTAACTAACAATTTGTGTTGGCTTTTACTAGTTATGATTCATTATCCAGAAGTCCAAGAAAAGATATTCCAGGAGCTGTCATCAAAAACCGACATAAATCATCCCCTAGTCTCGTTCTGTACTCAAGGCGATTGCCATTATACGTTGGCAACAATTTCTGAAACCATGCGCATGTACCCAGTCGTATATTCGACTCTGGATCACACGGCCTCGGAAGATGTCGACAATTTGCATGGGTTCCGGATACCGAAAGGTATTAGACTCTTTGGAAACATAGTTTGTATCTACAAAGACAAGAAATATTGGAAGGATGTATAAAACTTTAGTCTAGAAAATTTTTTGAACGAGAAAGGGGAGTACCAGAAGCATCCATGCTTGATTCCATTTGGTTCAGGCCCTCGTTCATGCATCGCAGAAAATATGGCTCGAATGGAAGTTTTAGTTTCCTTTGCGTCTATCGTTCGGAAGTTCAAAGTTGAGGCTGTCGGGGATGGAAAACCCTCGCTGGTTCCAATTCTTGGGTTTGTTGGGATAGCGCCGAAACCTTTTAAAGTCAAATTGATCAATAGAATAATATGATTGAAAGATAGGCTGAGGTTAATATGACTAACATGCTTTTTTAACGTATGTATAATATGCTGTAGATTTCTTCCTACAAAAAATTGACATGTGGTCCTGTTTAAATATACCAGGAGCTTTTGTCCCATGATTTAAATCAAAAGCTTATCGATTCTCCCCTCCACATTTTTGGTAACTACAACAGAATCTCCATCCCTAAATTTAAAGGGTGATTGCGCAAAATATCCAAAAATAATGAAAGCTTTATCGGTACGAAATCAGCAGTTAGACATTTGGACGAAATTCGGTTCATTCGTCAGTCTAGCTTATCATCATTCAATCACTTTCAAATTTTGCCACTGAAATTTTAATTAATCATATGTTATTCATTTGCTGGTCATATGAAATATGCTGAAACAGAAATTTATTCTAACGAAATTTTAATTGTTTTTGTTCCGATCATCCGCCGAGACATGTGAAGGTACTTTGGCGGTGTGTTGTGTGTTTTTTCTTCCCGATTTTGAGTACCTCAAAAACAGTTTGTAGTTGCGGAAGCGCGGAATATTTTCAAGAAAGTGTCTCAGTTTCTCAGTGTGTAGAAAACGTGGTCTGAACTTTTTTTGTTTACAGACTAAATTGAAGCGATACGATTTACCACTAATAGATATTAACCAACACTGTAGCTATTATTACTTCATGCATTGTTAAAGTTACTTTCGTGCCTTGTTAAAGTTAATTCCGCCAACTTTTTAAAGTAAACTAAAGGAAACGTAGACTACAAAAAATTTTTAAAAAAGCAAGAAACTTGAATTTTTCGCTTTTCGGAAGTTTTTTTTTTGGGCTTATTTTTAAAAAAACAACCTTCAATTTTTTTTCCCACAGAAACTTTTTTGAACATTCTTTTCTACTTAATTCTCCGTCTCTCATTAACCAATTGCAAAACTCATTAAAATAATCCCAAAATGGCGCGCCGTCAATGATTCAGAGCAAAGGATCTGTGGAAGTAGAGATCAAAGACTGCCAAGATGCTGTGAGGAGTTACATTTTCCACAACGTGCTGTCTGTGCCGATCTACAGGGTGAACTTGCCGCTTGATGAGTGAGAGCTCAGAGATAGTTAGATGATTAAGCTCCAGTTTTGATGCAGAAGCTTTTCTGCTATTAGCACCAGAAGGGGGGAAACTTCCTGTGAAGCAGTAGGGCAAATTTTGAGATATCCATTTTAGAGGGCTATTTTGAGATTTCAGTACGGCTATTTTGAGATATCCTTTTTGGCTGTTGGACCCCAAATTTTTTTTAAAAAGCGGCTTAGGCGCCAATATATACTAATTTTGAGGGGGTAGCGCGCACCAAAAAAAACGCGATTTTTTGGTCAAAAATTTCCAAAAAGTGCCTAAAAACTCTTTTTTTGGCATGTTTTGTCAAAATTTTGCCTGCGGCGCAGAACATTTGGCGAATCCGGGGGCTTTTTAGAACTTTAGAAGAGCTAAAAAAATCTAATCGAAAAAATGGTTGACAAAATTTTCTAAATTTTTTGAAAATCCGCCCTTCCCCTCGAGAAAATCCTAAGTCCGCCCCTAAACACAGATTCTGAATGATCCACGGTTCAACAATCGTAATATTAGCGGCTTCTTCGAGCTTTTCGGAGTTCAAAACAGCCTTTTTTTGACACTGGTGAGAGGTGGAAGGCCAAGAGAAAAGTGATGAACCAAATTTTCCGAAGTATGGGCATTGGGCGCAGTTCTCTCAGTTAGATGATTGAATAAGAAGCGGTAAAGTTTATGTTGCATTTTGAAAAGCTGGAAAAAGATGAGGCTGATATCAGGATGAGTATGAGTTATATGTTTCACATAAAGCTGTTTTTTGGCTCGGAGCATAAGTGGATATAAATAAAAGGATAGAGCTGAAATTTTTAGTGGATAACTCTAAAATTTTCCAAATGGGCAATTAGCAGCAAAAACTTTTACTTTGACAGGGGAACACACCAAGAAAATGAGCCAAAATAGGCCCAGTTTTTCTAAAATTTTCCTGCGCTGCAGAAACTTTTGGTCAAACAAAGCTATTTTTTTTGAGTGAAGGTAGAAAATCAGTTTGGTCGACTTATAAAAACCGGACAAAAAACTCATTACATGAACCCTTAAAATCCTTCCCGCAAAAATCTTTAAGCAGAAGCTCACACATTGGAGATCTGTACGTTTCAGCTATTAGTATTCGAAATAAAAGTGATAGTACACCAACAAACTTCGAAATCTATTAATCTTACCTAATTGTCGAAAAAATTTCACACTAAGGCGGAAAAAACCAGCTAACCATTATGTTTACAGGTGTTTTGTTTCAAAAGTACGTTGGCTACATGTCCAGCAATATCGTTTTCAACCTTCTATTTGACAAGACGTTCGATTATGATGACCCCTTGTACCTTGAATTTTAATACTACTTACAGCAAGTTTTTGACTTCAAAATCCACGAGCACTTCACTACTGGTTACCTTTATGCATAGCCAAGCGTATGTCTGTGCTTGAGGAAGTAATAAGCATGCAGAAAAACTTCATCGAAAAGCTGCGAGCCGAGTTCTTTCGCCGAAAGCCGCCTTCAGTCGAAGCCGCTCGGAACCGAGAACCGGAGTGTGTTTCTGACTATTTATGGAATAAAGTTTTGATCGATAATGACTCGATCATCACTGAAACTTCAGTAGTAGCGATCATGGCTGACCTTGTTTTCACTGGCCAAGAAACTGTAACTAACAATTTATGTTGGCTTTTACTAGTTATGATTCATTATCCAGAAGTCCAAGAAAAGATTTTCCAGGAGCTGTCATCAAAAACCGACATAAATCATCCCCTAGTCTCGTTCTGTACTCCAGGCGATTGCCATTATACGTTGGCAACAATTTCTGAAACCATGCGCATGTACCGTCGTATATTCGACTCTGGATCACACGGCTTGGAAGACGTCGACAATTTGCATGGGTTCCGGATACCGAAAGGTTCTAGACTCTTTGGAAACATTGATATAGAAAACTTTAGTCTAGAAAACTTTTTGAACGAGAAAGGGGAGTACCAGAAGCATCCATGCTTGATTCCATTTGGTTCAGGCCCTCGTTCATGCATCGCAGAAAATATGGCTCGAATGGAAGTTTTCGTTTCCTTTGCGTCTATCGTTCGGAAGTTCAAAGTTGAGGCTGTCGGGGATGGAAAACCCTCGCTGGTTCCAATTCTTGGGTTTGTTGGGATAGCACCGAAACCTTTTAAAGTCAAATTGATCGATAGAATAATATGATTGAAAGATAGGCTGAGGTTAATATGACTAACATGCTTTTTTAACGTATGTATAATATGCTGTAGATTTCTTCCTACAAAAAATTGACATGTGGTCCTGTTTAAATATACCAGGAGCTTTTGTCCCATGATTTAAATCAAAAACTTATCGATTCTTCTCTCCACATTTTGGGTAACTACAACAGAATCTCCATCCCTAAATTTAAAGGGTGATTGCGCAAAATATCCAAAAATAATGAAAGCTTTATCGGTACGAAATCAGCAGTTAGACATTTGGATGAAATTCGGTTCATTCGTCAGTCTAGCTTATCATCATTCAATCACTTTCAAATTTTGCCACTGAAATTTTAATTAATCATATGTTATTCATTTGCTGGTCATATGAAATATGCTGAAACAGAAATTTATTCTAACGAAATTTTAATTGTTTTTGTTCCGATCATCCGCCAACAGAGACATGTGAAGGTACCTTGGCGGTGTGTAGTTTTTTTTCCCGATTTTGAGTACATCAAAAACAGTTTGTAGTTGCGGAAGCTCGGTAGTTTTTCAAGAAATTGTCTCAGTATGTAGAAAACGTGGTCTGAATTTTTTTTTGTTTACAGACTAAATTGAAACGATACGATTTACCACTAATAGATATTAACCAATACTGTAGCTATTATTACTTCATGCATTGTTAAAGTTACTTTCGTGCCTTGTTAAAGTTAATTCCGCCAACTTTTCAAAGTAAACTAAAGGAAACGTAGACTACACAAAAAATTTTAAAAAAAGCAAGAAACTTGAATTTTTCGCTTTTCGGAGGTTTTTTTTGGGCGTATTGGGCCCAAAAATGGCGCGCCGTCAATGATTCAGAGCAAAGGATCTGTGGAAGTAGAGATCAAAGACTGCCAAGATGCTGTGAGTAGTTACATTTTCCACAACGTGCTGTTTGTGCCGATCTACAGGGTGAACTTGCCGCTTGATGAGTGAGAGCTCAGTGGTAGCTGGATGATTAATCTCCAGTTTTGATGCAGAAGATTTTCTGCTATTAGCACCAGATTGGGGGAAACTTCCTGTGAAGCAGTAGGGCAATTTTTTTCTGGATACAAATTCAGGAGAAACCAATGAGTCCAGTGACGAAGACAAAAAGCAAGATTAGTAATGCAATGCTTTGGCACTGACGACTGGGTCACTTCAACTAGCAGCATCTTTTATTACTTGTCAATGTGAGAGCTAGAGCTTTCAAGTTTCATGCTGTTGCAGTACTACCAAGAAAATCTGACAGCAGTACATCAGCAGTGAGGCAACGGGTCTTCAGTGACATCCTGTGACGTTTCGAACTACAGAACATGCCTCGAGTTTCATCGATGACTTCAGTCGGCTGACATGGGCAAATACCTGGTGAAGAAGAGTAGTGCTCTACTGAAGTTCCAGAAAAATGTGGTAGTGCATGGAGCACCAAAAAGCTGGAGATTTTGTAGAGAAACCCAATTGAAGCAAGAGTTCACTGTTTCTAATACTCATCAACATGGTCTAGCAGAGCGTTACAACAGAGCAATTACCAAGATGAATCGATGTCTGCTGGTCACTGATCGAAGCAAATCTATCGAAAATGTTCTGGGTCCGAGGAATCTCATCAGCTTTGAGGTTTCGCAACTTGTGTCCCCCAACCAACAAAGAGAAATGCTCCTCACCGACTGAGGGGCGACAGGAAAACCATCAAAAGTGAGCTGTTTTCGCGTGTTTAGCTGCTTGGCGTACTATCTTGATCCAGGCAACACGCTGAAATTGGATCTAACGGGCAATAAAAAAAATTCATCGGCTTAGACGAGGGAGCAAAGCCTTATTGCTGATGAACCTTAAGACAATACAGGTGGTGCAAGTTTGAAGACTGACTTTCAAGGAGGACATTATTCAAGACAACCCCTTGGTTGACAGTGACTTTTTTCAAACCGTGGAGCCATTCAGCCATGGATAAATTGATATTGAGCAACCGAGCACGACTTTCGCCAACAAAATACCAAGCGCACCAACATAGGAGTTACTGCAGTTTCGGTTAGCGCTACTAAAGTGAATCAGGTAGAGGAGGAACCCTTAGATTCAAGTTCTACTGAGCATCCAGTGAGGAGGTCAGTTAGGACGAGGAACCCTCCCATTCGATACAGACTGAAAATTAACCATGCTTCAGCAATAAGAGACCAATAGCCAGTGGGCTATTCATAAGCCGTGTCTGGAGCGGAAAATGAGCAAAGGCTGGCAGCCATAGCTTCGGAGTTGAAGTCTCTAGAAGCCATGGGAACTTAGACACTTATTGAAAGATCACGATCTCGCATGATTTCTCCTGGACGATGAGATCTTGCTAAGAAAGAAAAGTTGATTGGACAAGTGGAGCAAATGGATGGTGAAAGGGTTCATGCAAGTGGAATGACGTTATTTCATTGATACGTTTGCTCCGACCTGTCAGATCTGTAAGCCCGAAACGAAGGCTCTTGTGGGCAAACGATGAGCTTATCTCAACTTTCCAGTAGAGACAGTGTATATGGAGGAGCCAAAGTTGTTCAGCAGCAGTGGCTCCTATTTGAAGACGATTTCTGTAGAAGCAGCAATAACTCTTGTTTGTTCAGCGAGGCGAACAGATGATGCATTGATACTTGAGCTGGTTTGGTTAGATGACATCAACCTTGCGTGCAGATGTCAAGACGAAATTGAAAAGCCGTTTCTCAGAAAGATTTGTGATGGGTACTAGAGGTTGATCAACCTAGTTCCTGATGATGCAGTCGCCTGGGTCAGTGTCTGTGAACTAATCAGGCTCAACATTGACAGCGCTTTAGAGTTGATGACTTCAAACCAGTGGAGATCAGCGCACAACTATCTAAAAATGACTGCCCTGAAGCTTGCTCAGCAGAGGCAGTGTCTATGAAAGCTGAGGACTGCAGAGGCATTGTGGGCTCTTTACTGAACAAATCTAAGCAAAGAAGGCCCGATGTCTCACTACAGTGAAGAATCCAAGAAGATTGCACTGGGTTGCTGCATAGAGGGTTCTTTGCTACCTGAAGAGGACAAAAACCTGGAGCTGTGCTACACCAAGGAAGCTGATGGTGTAAGACTCTATGGATCTGCAGATGCTGACCGGGTGGGAGACATGGGTGGTAGAAGGCCAACGACTGGTATCAGTTGTAGAAGACAGGGGCAGCAATCGGTTAGAGCACCAAGAAGCAACCAACTGCGGCCATATCTAACAATCAAACTGAATAGCAAGCGCTGGTATCAGCATTTCAAGAGACTCTATGTGTGCGATCACTTTTCGCTGAGGTGAGCGTTGCGAATGACGAACATCACTCAGGAAAAGAACCAGAGCTGCATGGAAGATGTGCAAGAATCTCGCAAGAAAAGCAAACAAAGCACGTAGTTGTGAAATACCACTTAGTTTGAGTACGAGCGGAAGATGAGACAGTTGAACTCCAGTTTTGAACTACCAAAATTGTGTAACTGATTAGTTGAAAAAAAACCTGAGCCAGTCTAAAATGGATCAATTTTGTCGAAAGTTGATGATTGCAGCCTGATTTTGGACAAAGCCATTTCAGCCTGATTGGGGTTAGTTCTTTTCAAGGTCAGACTGATTACTTGAGAGATTCAGATGTGAGATCAAAATTGATTACAGAAATCAAAAATGAATAAACTCAGATAAGGTCAGCCACTAAAAACAAAATAATTAATTAGTCAATTTTTAAAATAAATAGTACTTCTTTGATTCTTCGTTTGTCCAATCAATTAAATTCATTTTCTCAATTCATTCTACAACAGTCACTACTTCTTCTCAACCGTCTCAGTTGAAACCTCAGAATTACTCTCAGTATCTAAACCCAGCTCTTAATCCTAGTTGCTCTAACTCTGAATCTTAAAATGGTGAGATCGATTTTTGAAAAAAAAGATGTTTTTTTTTTCAATGCGCTTCATCTTGTGCAAGCCAAAACTTTGATATCTTGCTAAGTAAAGAACTTTTTCGAAGAAGGGCATTGCTGATAGTTTAACATCAGTTTCAGATTTTCTCAGTGTTTCGTTGATTATCTATAAATTTGGTTACTGATTCTTTCTTTTATTCAAAATTTTGTGTCCAGATTACTGTCTCAGTTTTAACTATCTTGCCATTTTGCGTTGCTCGATTTATATAACCAAAAGTTTTGACGACAGTTTCAGATTTCTACGACTGTGTCCAAGGTTTTGCAATAAAAAGTCGGTAGGTATGCACAGGTTCTGCAATAAACTTATTGATATACAGACTTTTGCAAATTTGTTTCAGAATTTTGCTACCTATATTTGGCATGTCTAGAGTTTCATGACCCGGCTTCTATTTTGCAACATTATGTTTTGACTTTCACAACTAAACATCCGGTCGTGACTTTACAATTTGGTGTGAGGTTGACATGCAGTGCAACCCTCTAAGCCTGGGCACAATTTGGGAACTTTGATCCCCAAAAAAGATTCAGCTGTCCATTGAAAACTTTGTAACTACCCGGGTCGAAGTGCTCATTTTAAGTTTCGACCGTCTCAAATGAAAATTAGTAAGTTTCGACCGTCTCGACCAAAACTCACTAGTTTCGACTGTGCTCGACGAAAATTAGGTATTTTTGACCGTGCTCGACCAAAAAATATGTGCTTGATCGAAGCAATATATGTTTTGACCATGCTTGACCAATTTCAAACATTATGAATTCAGTTTCAAACATTATGAATTATTCAAGTTTAAGCGTTTTAGTTTATGCTTTTCGGGTAATTTTTGTTGATGTTTTTTATCAGAATGATCGTTTGAGTTATTTGCAATTTAGTATAACTCCTTTGCAGAGATGAACTGTTTTTGAGCTATTTTTTCAAAAAATCCTTTGGAATACTGGTTTGTAATTTGAGTAGAAAAAGTTCAGAAAATATGTTTATTTGAAGAAAAAGATTTTTTGGACTCCGAATTACCGCGGGAAAATCGATTTTTTTCGACCGTGCTCGAGAAGTGTTCTAATCGTGCTAGACCGTGCTCGAGGTATTTTTCGAATTTGTGCTGACCCATCCTGTCTCGACTTTTATTTTACGGTTGAGCACTGACATGTGCTCGACTTTGAAAGTCGAAACATAAAGTGAACACCTCGACCCGAGAAGAAACGTTCAGTTTCTTTTTTCCAATGCTGAATGCTGCAAATGTTGGACAAAAAAGTTCTAATTAACATTAAAAAATTTTTTTGAAAAAAATTGTTTAAAATGGCGATGAAAGGTAGAACATTTTGAAAAATAATACGAACAAAAAAAATTGACCGTTGGCCTAAAAATCGACCGCTTGTCAAAAGGTTAAATAATAATTTTTTCCTGAAGCTTTAACTTGGTTTCTGACTGGTGGAAAAACGAACACATGGTTTTGGTAGCGAAGTGAAAGTGATCCACAAAAAGCTAAGTTTTGGCGGGACCCATTGCAACCCACGGTGAAACATACAGTGGTTTACGCTTTCAATGATACAGTCTGCATCATTTTTGACTTAAAGTCAACCCAATTATAGAAAAACGCGTTTTAAATTTCTAGTTTTATGCGTTTTGTTTTATATTTTAAATCAGCACTGTCCTTGTTGCGCTTGAGCACGAAAAGTGTTTTGCAGCAAAAAAAGTTATTCAGCGAGGGCCCAGGAGTGAGCTTTTCAAAATTAATCTTCCTAGAATCTCTTATAATTTTGTTTTTGATGAATTCACTTCAATTTTTTATCAATGCTTGCAGACTTTCAACAATGAAATTTTGAAACAATAGTTTTTGATAAACATCAGGGTCAGTTATTTGACAATATATATCTCAAAATAGTACAATCGCTTTAGGGCGGCAGTGGGTCGAATCATTGAGAGAGAAGCGTCACCTGCCCCTTCCTCTAAATCCGCTTCTGTTTCAATGTATTCGGTAGCTTCAGAAACAGATTTCCCGAAAAAAGTCTGATTGTTTTGAATTTAATTGTAGTGCTGTTTTCCCGAGGCATGGGCCATTAGATTCTTAGGAAACAAAAATTTCTAAGACTATAAAAAAAACTTTTTAGTTAAAAGACTGAGATATTCCTCGCAAGTGCTCTGTTTTTCGAGGCAACCCGTGGCAGGCTTCGTTTGAAATCTTTAGGATATCTTCTCAAACCTACTTTAATCACAAAATACTGACCTTAATTTTGTGTATATATTTGGCTTCAAAACAATTTATTATGATTATTATTACTGCTCTAGTGCAAATTGTAGATCAAACTTTGGATTTCCAGTTGAAGCAAATCATAAATTGATTTACGTAGCTGCCATCACTCGATTTTAGAGGCCTTGATCCTTTTTCCAAGTATGATGGATCGTGAAAAAACGTAGTGAATTTTTTTTTCAATACATTATTTTCTTGAAAAAGAAGCTCCGGGACGATTTGGGTGTGGCTTTAAACTTCGTTACTTAAAGCTTTAAAGCGTCAACAGACGACAGTTTTTCCGATTTAAAAACTAATATTACTATATTTGTTCTATTCAAACAATATGAAGTAGTGGTCGGTCCGGTCCAAAAGGACTTTCATTCAATTTTAAAATTTTCAACATTAAAATTCAATTTAAAATGAGGAAAGTTTAGAAATTTTTTCAGCCGGAAGCTTCGTCTGAAATAACTTTATATCAAAAAACTTTGATTAGAATCTTCAAAAATTGTCTGATGCAAAAACTTTAAAAGTTAATTTGCGTTAATTAAATAACTATAATGCGGATAACATAATAATTTCGTGTCATATTTAGCTCATAGTTTCGGTCTCCTGTCGCAGATGTAGTAAAAATTGTCGGTACAAACGTATGTTTGGAACACACAAGTACCATTGGTTCGTTGATACTCAGCGACACTAGCAGCCACACATGGGTATACAGGGCCTCCTGATCCGACATACCAGCACAGGAAGTCAGTTTTGTCTTCACCATCAGGATTCTCGTACACTCCTGTTCCGGACTGGTCGTGAAGTCCGAAGTTAAATCTTGTGGCTTCACTGAACTTCTCGGCTATCAAGTCGAACTCTTTTCGAAAGTTCCGAGGGTTCCAGTATAGTTCGGAGTGGCCGCTGAACGACTCGCATGTTGCTTTGTTCGCTTCGTAAGTTCCTGAATCGAAGCGTCCCCACCTGAACCAATGGGAAATTCCATTCACGCAGTCATGACCTGAATATTAGTGCAAATCATTAGTATATCTAATTGAAATGAACAAAAAAAATAAAATGACTAGAAAAAGTATATTCTAAAACAATTATCAGCACTTTCAGATGAAAAAGAACTACTATTTTGATTGAATGAATTGAATACAGTAAAAATATCCTATTTTAACTTTAAAAATTCCAGTTACATTTTTTATTCTATTCGGTGTCTACTTCTTTTTCAAAGCATTGTTAAACGTGATTCTTCTTGAATGCAATTTATTCCTGTTTATTCATAACTTCTGGGCAGATGAAAGGTTTTACTGATGAATCTTAGGGGTCGACATCTTACGTTAAGCTGAGCTATGATAGGCATATTTTTTTGAGTTTCATTAACAAAATGTGTTTTGTTTTCCTAGTACTCCAGCTCGAACCAAAACATCATTAATGTCACCTAGAAAAAAGTCGTTGAGTTTGAAAATCAGTCAAAATTGATAAAAAAGAGACAATCCCACAGATTTCTATGTTTATACATAGAGTTTGTTTTTTGGTAAAGCTGAATTCATTCAGTTTCATAAATAGGTTCCCTTTATGTATATTTTGCTAGAATGATTCCAACCAGCTTTTGCAAAAATTACAACTAAAAACGCTGGAGCGCCTTTTGCTAATTTAGTTTTCTACAAAGACTCATGCACTAGTTTTGACCTCCATGAGCTGGTCCGATGCACGTCCCTGATGTCTCGGATTTGTACTCTGTGGAGCTGTCGATTAGCACTGTCTCCCCTTCCCCATCTATGAGCCCGTCTACTCTCTTTTGGTTGATCTGACACAGTCCAGGCGAAGAATCATCTGTTATATCTTTCTCCACGAACACTAATAAATAGTTTTAGATTTAGTTTTAAATGGTTTTGAATGTCGAACTTTTTTTAAACTGCACGTTTTTTTTATACCGCGTCGATTTAATTCAAATAAAAAAGGATAGCTGGTTACTGTGAAAGTAGCAGAGAATGTTCTGACCATCGTCTTAGAAAGTACAACAAATAACATTTTTTTTTTAAAATGTTGTTTTTTCGGCGCTGTGTGATAATATGAGCTAAAAGAAAAACTAGAAACTAGGCATATTTGACAGTCTTTGTAAAATAAGCACAACGGAAAACAAATTTTGTCGAAAAATGACAATAAAAACGAGAAAAAAAATCAAAAAAAAAATCGAAAACTTTTTCAAAGGTTTTTGCAATTTCTTGAAACTTTGAGTTTTAAGTTTACAAAAGAGCGCTAAAGTACCGAAAAACTAACGTTACTCGAGTAAAACTAAGTTTTTTGTTTCAAAATAAGCTACTGTAAGCCTGCTCGCATGCTTTATTCGTTCGAAGAAGACGAAAAACCTAGAATCACGACTTTAAGGGCTTCAATATGATAATGTTAAAGTAGGAAAAAGAGTAGAAGGTTTCAAAGATAAGTTATAGTAAATATCAACTGTACTACATCGAAATATAAAGCAAGCTGCTTTTGTTATTTCAGTCGAGTACAGACGTAGAAAGAACAGTGATTAGAATAAAGACCGGTGGCCATACATTAAAGGACTTTACCATAACTTTACATTAACATAAACTGTATCAATTGTACCCCAATTATATAAGGTCACCAACGAAATTTAAACACTCTTTTTGATTTTTCAAGAATTCAAATTGCAACTTCAAGTTGCTGTACATATGTTTATCATAGAAAACTAATTTTTGTGTCTGTCAGTTTTACTTTTGAGTTTGATAGGCTTTTCTCAGCTCTCCTGTTTCTAGTTCGGTTTGTATTTGGTTCCCTCACGTTTTTGGATCCGTCGCGTCAACACTACGCCCAATTTTGTGACAGCTTTACGTGTTCGCGTTGATTGGCGTGGCGGCGTTTTGTCCTTTGTACTCGTTTCTGGATCCATTCGACCGTGTCCTCGCTTCCGCGTGGATCACTTTCCGTCGCCGTTTGTGTTTCCGGTTGACTTTCTGCTTTCGCCGTTGGCGTGCTTGCTTCGTCTGCCGTGTCGCCTGAGTCACTGCTCGATTCAGCAATTCGTTTTTTCTAATCGTTGTCCTCGCCGCTCGCTTGGCTCGTGCCCGTCTTTCACTTTGCTCCTTTGGCTTACCCGCCCCAATGGGCAGACCGTTGGCAACATTGACCGTTGCTGAGCTGTCCAGTTAGTTTCTGATGATGCGACCATGTTCTCGGTTTCTGGCTCGTATCTAAACGCGACACCGTTTCTTAGTAATAAATTGCCTTTTTCGATTTTTACAGTATGCGGAGTTAATTTTTCGATTTTTTGGTCAAGTTTTTTTTAGTACCTGGCTGGGTTATTTGGATCTGTAAGGCTTGTTTGCTGGTTTATTGTGTACGCTTTCTTAGGTGGCTTGGCTGCTTTGTGCCGCAATTTGATGGTGTTTTGGGGTTGTGAAGTTCAATGTTCGTCGGGTATCCGGGGGCCGCGTCAATTTTGTGGTTCCATTGTGAGGCCGCTTCGCTTATCCCTGTCCTGAAAAACTATTCGATTGATCTCCCGCTCTTCTCGTCTAAAGAATTTTTTTTGGTTAAAATTTTTATTCGAATTGAGTTTTTCAAACTTGGACGTTTCGCTAGATTTCTCAGCACCGTGTTGGTTTCTCTCCCATGGTGTGCTTCGAATGGAGTAACGTTTGTTTTACTGTGAAAGGCAAATTATGAGGTGCCCAATGCTCAGAGCAGGAGCGGTTCGAATCGCTGTTCCCCCCGTTCCTTCAGGCATGTAATGACAAAATGTTTTGTAGAGAACCGATTGTACTTTCTACCATACCAGTTGCCGATGGTCTCAAACCGGCGACTTTAACAATTCGATGTTCTTTTTTTCGCAAAAATTTTGTATTTTATTGGAGAAGAACTGGGAAGTTTGTTCTATGTGAAGATTTCTTGGGTTTCCGATAGTGGCTATATATTTTTATGGAATTTTAAAACTTTCCTTGAGTTATTGCTAGAACAAACAGAATCCGACGGCCGGTGAGAAAAAACATAGACGACCATAAAGCCGTTTTTTCTTCGACCTTTTACGTAGTTAACCGGCCCCAAAAGATCCAATTGGACTATTTCGTTAGGTTCCGTCGGTATATATGTTTCACCTAAATTACCCTTAGCTATGTCTGGTCTCAGACTTTTACCTACTTCTAAGCAGTGCTTGCATAATTTGGCCGTCACTGCCAGATTCATGTACATCATGGGCATCCAGATTTTCTTGGAGGCGGCATACATCTTGTCATGGCCATGGTGGTAGTAGTGTAGTCGGTTCATTATTGGTGTTGCCAGCGCCCTCGCTATTGCGGGTCTCCGATCCATCCACAGGCTTTTTGGGGTAGTTTTCCTGTGTAAGTACTTCAATATCGGAATCGGAGCTACTTGAGCCCAGGGTTGAGACTGGATTAGTTAGATGTTTACTGCCTGAGTTGAGGTGCTTTCTATTGCTGTACTCTTATCCGGCTAATCTGGGGTTGAAATTAAAAATTTTGGGCCATATCCTCGCAGTTGAAATTATTGAAAAAACTGATGAATTGAGAAGAAATAGAGCAACTTGCTTTTAAATCTTGAGAACGAAGTCTGTTTTTCTGTTTTCCGCTCGTGCATACATAACGCGATATGCAAATATCTGTCCTGCCACGGCTGAATTTCTCTCGCATGACTCAACCGGTTCGTTTTCTATACTTGTCGGCCGGTTCGTTTCTATACCTGATGAATTTGTATATTCACGGAATATTGTGCTGCTATTGGCTGAATAGTAATTGCATGTTTTTTCGCCCTCTGCCGTTCAGTTTTGGCGCGTTCTGTTTGCAAATTTTCTTTTTCTTCCGTTTTTTGTACTTTTTATGTTTTACAAGTAGCTTTCTTTGCTGGGCAAACTTTGATATGTTCCAACGTAAAATTAGGAGCATCGCAATTGTAGCATCTTCGGGGGTTTGACCCCCCGGTATATTTCCGCGTTTGCCACGCCATCGGTTTCGGAAATATCCTGCTCCCTGTGGAATTTTTGTGTACGACCTGTAAGCTCTATCCCCACCGTTCATAGGATAAGGCGATCCTACATATATCTTCCGGCGTTTTCGTTGAATGCGATAATTACCGCTGGCAATCCAGTTTTTTCATTATCTCGTTATCATTATAAAGATGTCTTCATTATCTCGTTTTTTCACCTTTTTTGAGAAATCGCGCCGTCCCGTCAGGGTGCTGAGTTCCGCGTTGAATTTTTCGAACGTTTCGTGCTCTCGTCTTTTACGTCCATAAAACAAACCCCTTTCTGGCGTCACGTTACGTTTTCTTTTAAAAACGCGGTCCATGTAGTCCAACACTCGAGGATACGTTCCGTTTTGAAAGCCACTCCTGGTTGCCTGGCTTTAAAAATCCCTTCGTGTCCAATACATGGATAAAGGTTCGATTTAAGTTTCTTCTCCGACTCCGTCCAATTTTTTCCGTTTACTTCCTCCGTCAATGCGGCGATTTGGGGAGCTGTTAACGTGGCAGCGAATTAGAAGTCATCCGGATCAATTTTGTTTTTCGATGTCATCCCCAATGGAATTTCACGATCCACTCCTCCCAGTAAATTGGTGGGTCAAGTGTTTTAGAGTCCCAAACAGAAACAATATTGAAAGGGTTCTTTCCCGCTTTTTTTTGTGCTGGCTGTGCCATCTTAAACTAGGAAAAAGAGTAGAATGCATAGAAGGTAGAAGTTTAATTATCGTAAAGATTATCTGTATTATATCGAAATGTAAGGCAAACTGCACTTTTTATTTCAGGTCCAGACGTAAGTCCAGACGTAGAAAGAACAGTGATAAGAATAGAGACCGGTCGCCAGACATTCAAGAACTTTACCAAAACTTTATCTAAACATAAACTATATAAATTGTACCCCTATGTCAATATATCACTTGACTTTCTCCGATGATCATTTGTGGTGTCTGATTTTGCATGGAAAACACGCAAAAAAATTAGAAAAACTAAAATACACCCGAATACAATGTTCCCGTTTTTCAAATGGTCGCAACAAAAAGCTACCTTGCTGCAGTCACCAACCAGTTTGTAAAAACACGCTCGAACTCAGAGTGTTTCCCAGAAACTTTGGCAACGAAATAACAAATGGCAAAACAAATTGTTTGCAAAGTGTTATAACAACACACTTTCTTTCACCAAATCTCATTTTTTAATAGTTTTTTACCTCCGCTGAATGCATCCTCCTCCTTGCACTTCGGTTTGGTCCCATTCTTCATCCCTCCATAGACACAATTCTCATCAAATACCACAACCCCCTCTTGTTGCACCTCCGCCCCATGCATATCCACAGAGTTCAACTCGCAGATCCTCCCTTGGCAGAAATTGTACGATATGCACCCTGATGCTCTAGTGCAGTGCATTGAACATTTGGATATCCTATCGGCTAATTTGAGTTCTGCAATGTGCCCCACTATTCTGATTCTGGACCTCATGTCGTCAAAGGGCATTGTTCTATTTCAGAAGCAAAGTAATATCAAAATGGTAAAATATGATTCATGTTAGAAAGAAATTTAAATTGAGATTGATCGTAGATAAAAAAATATTAAGGTTCTGGAAGAGCAATCCCGTCACCTTATATAACTAGGCCAAACACTTGGCCAAACACCCTATATAACTTGGCCAAGTATATAACCAAGAAAATATACTCTCGTTCTGCGACAAACTTTATGCGAATCATAAAAAAATTGAAAACCTTAAAATTTTCGCTATCCTCCTTTTTTGCGGCGACAGGGATAAAGCCCTATCAAGCAAGAATTACCTGATCGCTGTTGGAACTTTAGCCGGTGATGCGAAGACATTGTAAAACAGTTCAAAATCAAACAGAGTTGAAAGGATAATCAGCATTTTGTCAATTGTCAGGTCAAAAATGGAACACATCGAGATCCAAAGATCCAAAAAAAACTCAAAAGTGATTTCTTCGTTAAACTTTTGGCAACCAACAAACTGTCAGAGTTCAAGCTGGAATTTAACAGAAAAAATAAACAGATGTCTTTGTGGTGAATAATTTATTATGTGCTTTCGAGTGCAATTTCAGTATAGTTTTTTGGCTTTACGGCAGCTGTGTTTACCAAATTGTTAAGTTTGAATCTAAATTGCACTAATTTTTTGTAACAAATTAAATTATCATATTCATTAAAACGAACTTTGGTAGATTGGTCGGGCTAAAATATATTTAGTGAAATATTGTTTTGAAACGAAATTCAGTTTTAGAAAATTTATTTGAAAAATGACAAAATAGTTGAATTTGTTCATCGACCCAAAAGGTTTTGAAGACCCAAAATTTTGAGCAAAACCCGGGTTGAAATTGCATCCACAAAACTTTTACTGTACAGTGCCATGATTCATCTTTGAAATCTATGAAACGAAAATGCAAACGACACTGCTCGCATCAGGGCGAGCCCTGAATGTTCCGACGGCCATCTAAGCTCTATGAAGTCAAGTTCCCTTTTAAAAAATGATAAAATTTTCAGCAAAAAAATGAAAAAACATTTAAATAGCATAGTGATATAAATTGCAAAAAAAAACAAAGAATTATACAGACCAAAAAGCATGCCTCAATTTTAATTTAAAACAGTTTCTAAAAGAGATTAAATCTCCGCTTACGCGTTAATAGCGCAAAAGTTATTGCGCGTTAATGATACCAAGTTCACCATATTGGCAACATTTGAACCCCCTTAATTTTACGAAAAATGATCACAGCTAAAAATATCTTTTAAAATTTGAGCTCAGGACAACAATAGTTATTTATTTTTATAATTAAGACCATTTATCCACGGGGGAAAGGACCAACACAAGAGCTGTACAGCTCATCACGGCGAACCGCTGTTGTGCCCCTGTTCAAGAACTACATGCAATTTTTTGGTTATTTTTCTGGGCTGGGTAATGTTGCTTCACCCTCAAGCAACGAGCACGGATCATGGTGGGCCTCGAACATCCGACCTTTCGATTGAGAGGCGGAGACGTAACCACTTCACCACCGCTCCCCTTAATTTTGGATTATGTAGAAAAAAATTTGATTAAAATGGCAAGTTTAAAGGTCGAAATTTGTCTGGAGAAAAAAATATCCCGAGCACAAATCGAAGATTTTAAAATGCTCGCATTCTGCATATGAATTTACTACCAAATTTTTAAGTTTTTATCCGTGGTTCTGACCAACAAAAGTTCAAAAAACTTGACTGTTTTCATCTCCAGAAACTTTTCCTTGTTTAAATTTTAAAAAATGATTTGCAATATTAATGGCCTTGTTCCGGCTTTCGAGCACCTGCTGTCGATTTTGAGTGTACTAAAATTGCAATCACTGGTGTCAGTAGCCACTAGCAGGCGCCATAAGGCTGAGCAATTTATTTATTTGGCATTACTGCGTAAAATCACGCCCAACCTGTTTGAATAATTGATCTAGCAACAAACAAAGGTATAACCATGGATCAAAAAATTAATTTTTTAGTCAGAAAGAAATTCAAAAACTATGGCAAGCGAGCAGGGGCGGATCTTAGATTTTCTCGAAGAGGGAGGAGCGGAGTTTTAAAAAGTTGAAAATTTGTCGACCTTTGTTCAGGTCATTGATTTTCCAAAATTGATTTTCCGAGCGCTCCCAAAACTCAAAATTAATTTTGCGAGAGCTCCCGGAACATTATAAAGAGCCTATTATGACAAATTGTGCTGCGTCAAAGGCAAATGTTTGGAAAAGCATGTCAATGCAGTTTATGGGCTCGTTTTGGTAATTTTTTGACCAAAAAACGCTATTTTTTGACGTGAGCTCCCCTTCAAAATTAATATATATCGGTGCCAAAGGCGCCTTCAGAAAAATTTCAGGGTTGGCCGTCAAAAATGGATGTCATGAAATAATACCAAAGGATACAGTAAGCTAACTCTATTAATTTTGAAATAGTATTCGTTAATTTTGGAAGAATTTTTACAGAAACAAAATAAAGCGCAAACTTTCCGATCAGTTGCTTTCTTCCATTTTCTCAAACTTATTTAGTAACGTAACAACTTAGTTTAACGAAATAAATCCAGAGCCTGATAATTATTTCAGCGGTATTCTTAATTTTTTCAAATTTTGTAAGAAATTTAGTAACTGAATTCTTCACGCAATAAAAATTTTAAGATGATTGAAACGAGGTAACTCGAAGTTCACGCCACCCTGTATCTGGAACTGAGCTTAGTCATGAAAATTTTCTCAACACTAATTTTATTCATTTTCGTTACATTTTGAAAATAAAGCTTACCTGGGAACTTTTTTCTCTGGACAATAAAGTAAAAATGTATAAAACGTTTGGAAAAGTGTGCAAATCGTGTAAAACTTTTGACCTTAAACTGCAGTTGCTCGGTCAGCGCTAGTACTGAACTGGAAGCTAGCCTTTGAAATGTATTATAAACAAAAACAAAACCAGTTTTGAGTTTCAGTTCTGGGACAGAAATGTGACATTCAACCAGAGATGTGATAAAAAAATAATCATAAAATATCATCATCATTAAAATCAACTAATTCTTTTTCTGCACAACATTGCCTCTGCTGATCGAGACAAGACCATTTTTAAATCGATTGATGATGCTATTACTATCTCTTTTTAATCCTTCTCCATTAATTTTAATCTGTGTTCAAACATATTTGCCTTCAAATTTGACTTTAGTGGTTAACAACAAAAGCTTTAGCAATTAAGAGTCAAAACAATTGAATTATTTTTATCACGAAATTTGAACTTAAGTTTTGGATGTGTAATAGTTTCAGCAGAAAACAGTAATTCCATGAAGGGAATTACATTAAAATTGATTGTTACTCATTTTTCAGTTCTAGAATTTTGCAGGAATTTTGCTTGAGCTTCTATGATATAAATCTAACTGATGTCTTGATGTCTCTAACTGAAGGCGGTGGGGCGATAAGGGATTTGAGGTTTCTATTTAACGACCCAGAGGATACCTCTTGCTACTATTTACGACCTCCCGACCCTGAAACTTTTCGAAGGTCACCTTTGGCTCTAAAAGTTTTTTTCAAAGATGAAAATATCCAGAAACTGTCTTAAATTTTCGTTGTTGACCTGCTTTTTTGCAAAAAATTTGCTTTCGGAGCCAAATTTTAGTCAAAATTGGATCATTGTAGCAAGGTTTTTGTGACTTTTTCAAAGATCATTTGTATTTTTTAGACTATGTTCGAGACAAATATCCGATATCTATAACAGTCAAAATAAATTCGTTTCCAAGTATCTCAGAGTTAGCACGCGTGAGAGGGCGTCAAAAGGCAGTGAGCCCATCAAGGAAGCCTCAAGAGCAAAATAACAACTGCATTTTTCTGTGTAACGCACGCGTGATCTGAAAAACAAACAAGACAGCGAAAAAAAAAACGTTTCAAATATCTTTTAGGTGTGGTATTCTAACCAGATCTAAACTAGAATTTATTATTGATTATTATTCTGATATTTTATCTTTTTAAATTTTTGAATACTAACCAATCAAACTCCATCAAACTAACAACCCACTTATTTGTAAGTGGTGAAACTACTTGTAGTTTCAGCACCAGAGCGATTTGAATTAAACTTAGAATACAGTTGTTCTCATTCTGGAAACTAACTCGCATAAACCGGTGTACACTAGATCTTTTGAGACTAGGAGATATAAGAGTAGGATTAAGATTGGTATTAGACTAAGAAATTGCACGAATCTATCCGGCCGAAAATAAGATAGCGTGACGATCAGACGGTGTACCCTATCTGAAATTACTCTATGAGTATAGTACAAGACTAATAACTCATCTGGTGCGACCAAAAGTCTCAAACAGAACTTAAATAACCTAGAATTAGACAAAAATTAGATTAGAGTTAGACAAATACAACATTTTAAAAAATGTTACATGACAAAAATTTAGTAGAAATGTCTCTACGACTCAATAGATCAGAGCCATTTTTCCGACCAATACGAGAACTACCCGGTATTGGAAGAAGACCTCGCTCGGACAAGAGACGACGTACGACTAGAAAGAAATCTACCAATCGATTTCATGATTGTACGACAAAAACAAGATCAAATTTTATTTTTAGAATACTTCCAGCAGTAAAGTTAAATTTTCATTTGCTGACATCAAATTTTGAGGAAACATCTTTAAAACTTTTCATGGCGCTTAACCTAATAATTATACAATAACGACTTTGTTCTTTAACGACTTGTAATTTTTGTTTTTTGACGCAATAAAAGTTTTAAGATGATTGAAACGGGGTAACTCGAAGTTCACGCCACCCTGTATCTGGAACTGAGCTTAGTCATGAAAATTTTCTCTACACTAATTTTATTCTTTTTCGTTACATTTTGATAATAAAGCTTACCTGGGAACTTATTTTTCTGGATAAAAAAGTAAAAATGTGTAAACGTTGGGAAAAGTGTGCAAATTGTGTAGAACTTTTGATTGTTACTCATTTTTCAGTTCTAGAATTTTGCAGGAATTTTGCTTGAGCTTCTATGATGTAAATCTAACTGATGTCTTGATGTCTCTAACTGAAGGCGGTGGGGCGAGAAGGGATTTGAGGTTTCTATTTAACGACCCAGAGGATACCTCTTGCTACTATTTACGACCTCCCGACCCTGAAACTTTTCGAAGGTCACCTTTGGCTCTAAAAGTTTTTTTCAAAGATGAAAATATCCAGAAACTGTCTTAAATTTTCGTTGTTGACCTGCTTTTTTGCAAAAAATTTGCTTTCGGAGCCAAATTTTAGTCAAAATTGGATCATTGTAGCAAGGTTTTTGTGACTTTTTCAAAGATCATTTGTATTTTTTAGACTATGTTCGAGACAAATATCCGATATCTATAACAGTCAAAATAAATTCGTTTCCAAGTATCTCAGAGTTAGCACGCGTGAGAGGGCGTCAAAAGGCAGTGAGCCCATCAAGGAAGCCTCAAGAGCAAAATAACAACTGCATTTTTCTGTGTAACGCACGCGTGATCTGAAAAACAAACAAGACAGCGAAAAAAAAAACGTTTCAAATATCTTTTAGGTGTGGTATTCTAACCAGATCTAAACTAGAATTT